TTCCAACCTGTATTTTGGTTGTGCAGGCCCCCTTTGACGCTTTACTCGCAAGCCTGTCATAATGCTTTGACACCACCGCCCGCGATCATTCGCAGCCATTCACCTGCTATCCGGACATAGTGCCGTCGAATGCCCGAGCGTTGGTAGGTCGAATAAAACCTTGAGTTGCGCCAGTGCCAAAGTAGCCGTAAGATGGCTGATGGCGTGTCGCATTACCGTGTTCATAGCCCCCCCCCACTGATGTCGTTCGCAAGGCATACCTGGTAGTCCGCTAACTCCCAGTGAACCCTGCAATCAGTCGCACCACGTGTTTGGACAACTAGTTCCCATAAGTTACGTGGAACTAGCTTCAGTGTAGGCGTTCGTTGCTGAATGTAGGCTAGAACGCCCACGCGTCTCAAACATATACCACCAACTCATACATCTATGCAACGGTTATTATATCTCCCGTCATTGGCTGAGTTGGGTTAACTCACTGCGCGCATAGTGTGGCGAGAAGATACCGGATACAATCCAAATGCGTTAAAGACGATGTCCAAAGGGCATGTGGATGCAAATCAAAGCCTTATGGAGTAATCCAATTGCACTGTGGATGCAATCGACCGGGAAAAGGTGTAGTTTCAACTCACATGTGAACGCGGAGCGTCATTACTTTCTTGTCGATAAGTCCATATCCAAGCAAGCGGTCAAGCCCACTTCATCGACTTCCATTTGGAGCCCTCGATTCTCCTTCAGATCGGTATGCCTAAACGTATCCACATCGTAACAGATAGGTTAACAGGCAGCATTTGCTTGAATATTAAAGACCCTCTCGAACGATATTTGTTGGTTATCGGGGACCCGCTTGCAAGACTCGAGCTCTGTGCTCACCTTGCGATCTCCTACAGGTGACACCAGCACCACTTTCTCATTGCGCCTATCCGGAGAAGATGCAGATTCGAGCACCGGCCAAGCTGGTGTTGGTATTGCCCTGAGTCCCCGGGCTGAAGCTGATCCGGTTGATTGGATCCCAAACGGCAGCCGGATTTGTGCGGTCCGATTGCCTGGCTCGTTCAACGCTTAGAAGTCGCGCGGGACTAACAGGTGTCTCTTCATCATCCCTGCCTATGCACTCACAAACTCTAGCGATGATTCGGTAAAAGACGACTTCTATCGCCAATTGAACGAGCTCCTTGGCCACAGAAGAAGCTCGGACACTGTTGGGCTGGCTGGGGATCTGAACATCTAAGTTGGAAAATTACCCACTGATGAACTGCATCTAGGCGGCCAACATGGTGTAGACTTCCGTAAGGATAACGTTGAGTGGTTTCTTCATTTGTGTGAAGCTGCTCGCTTATTTCTTGAGAGCACTAATTTCCGACACAGCACCCGCCGGAGAGTGACTTGGCGCCCACCACCCTCGAGCCAGCTATGGACGCAAATCGATCATATTGCGATAAGTTACCGATGGAGAGGGTGCATCTAGAACTGTCGCTCGATTTGAAGCGCAGGTGTGGAAACCGACCATGCACTCGTACGTGCTGATCTAAGAATGCGTTTTGGCGGACGCCCACGGCGAGGCTGTGACCGTATTGACACCAGCCAACTGACGAATCCAGCTGTTCTAAATGCCTATCGAAGTACGCTGACACGCGAGTTGAGTGAGCGCTCATCAAATACATTTGAAGCCCACTGATCACACATTCACCAGACCTTAGTAGCAGCAGGTAAATTCTCATGTGGTAGGTCTAATCGCTAACATGGACATTGGGTCTGTTCGCAGTCTCTGGAACTTATCGAGGTTTGCCGGCAAATTCCGGCTGGAAGCGAACACAATGAGACTCGCAAAAAACCTTTGGGAAAACTTCGTGCAAGCTTGAAGAAAGACAGAGAATCTTAGTGGTCTCATCGTGCGTAGGAGATGGATATGGCCGCTATCCTTGGTAATCACAGAAAGATATTGGGTATGAAACGGGAAACGGGCAGCAGGAGGCAGGGTGTTATAGAAACTATAAGTGACGAGAGTGCACAGCCTATCCACAACTTGTCAAAACGCTTGGAGCGTTGGGCTAAGCACTTTGAACGGCAACGTAATCAGTCGGAATCACATTTCTCGCCGGTCACTGATCATCCTGCTCCCTGGGCTGTCCCTTTGGATCCGCCCTCTCGTTCAGAACTCGAACTTGAGATCGGACTGCTGAAGATAAATAAAACCGCGGAACCAGATGATCTTCCTCCAGTCTCCTTTAAATTTGGGGGAGCTGCTCGTTTGGATGATCTATGCGAGTTACTGGTGAGACCGTGGGAGCAGAAAACTGTCCCAACCGACTGGAAGCGCTAGGATATAGTCCAGATTTTCAAGAAAGGCTCACGATCGGAATGCGGCAACCATAGAGGAATCAGTCTGATTTCCATCGCCTAAAAATTGCTCGCCTTTGTCATCCTTCACCGACTGACTGGCACCCGTGAAAGCCAGATTCGTGAAGAGCAAGCCGGGTTTCGTCAAGGTCGTGGCTGCATTGACCAAACGTTCACTTCGCGTCAGCTTTGGAGCACCGTCACATATGTTGGCGGCCCACCGTTGTCGAGTTCCTCGACATCAAAGGTGCATTCGATTCGGTGGATAGATGTGCCCTTTTGGACTGTCTACTCAGGAAAGGTGTGCCCGTGAAATATGTTAATGTTATCCGATATTTATATGTACGTAGCTCAGGCACAGTGAGAGCTTACGGCAAGCTGTCGTCGCCATTCAATACCTCCAGCGGTGTGAGATAATGATGCCCGCTGTCACCTTTCCTCTTCAACTTCGCTATTGAAAAAGTCATGAAAATCGCGTTCACAGGATAAGACTTAGAAGGTGTGGACCTGCTCCCAGGAGAACGACTTCTTGAGTTGGAGTATGCTGACAATATTGCCCTAATCTGTGACAGCTCACAAACGTGCCAAGCTACGCTGGACAGGTCAGCACCGGTTGTCAGTTGCTTCGGACTTTGTTTCTCACCCTCGAAATGCAAACCTTTCCTCTAAGATTGGACTGGACCGCCTGCGCTGAACCTTGGTAGTAATCAGCCAGAAGTCGTTCAAAAATTCAAGCACCTGGGAAGTTGTATCAGCACCCGTGGGATTGAAGATAAGATCACGAACGGTATTGCAAAAAGTTAAAGTCGCTTTTGCTAGCCTTCACCTTCGGCACTACATCATTCCTGCCCTGAAGGATAGAATGTACAATGCAGAGGTACATTCGACCCTATTCTACGGCTGTGAAACCTGGCCCCTTAGATCAGCAGACCTAAAGAGGTTAGTTACGTTCGATCACCGGTGCCTTCGCAGTTTGGCTCACACCTGGTGGGAAAACCGCGTGAGCAATGAGCGTGTTCGACGTCTTGTTTACGGCACAGGAAAATGAAAGGAATCGCTCAGTACATTATTTCAAGCACCAGGCTCCGATGCCTCAGGCACGTGCTACGCATGCCAGCCCACCGACTCCCACGACGTGCGTTATTTGCGCGCCGGGGGTGTGGATGGAAGAAGAGGAAAGGTGACCAAGTTAGGACTTGATCGAGAGGAATGTAGACCCTCACTTCGAAGCTGGCCTCAGTTCGAGCGTCTCGGCTCCCTGGTTAGTATCCGAAAGATGATGAACAAGTCTGGCAGAATACACTTGCTGACATGGCTGGGAGCCGACCTCAATGGCGTTCGTGCTGTGAGTTTCTTTTACCCGCCGCATCCCTCTTAGCCTCCCCCTCTAACCACGATCTCGCTTTTTAGCCTGATATAATTTTGCACAAAAATTGTTTTGCTACATAGTAGCCGGCTGGTAGTTTAGCGGAACGATGGCCATCCGCTACTGGTAGCTCAGCTGGCACGCGTCTGTTGCATTTTTTCCTTTTTATGTATTGCGGCACAGCAGCTATGTTGTTTTTTACCTCTAGCTAACGTGTATAATGATGATGATGATGATGACGAACCCTTGGGTTGTTTTCCTGCGCAGCGCGTTGCAACTGCTGTTCTCCTAGTCGATATTCATCAGTGTGCTGATGACCTATGCTTAGAGGTTAGCACTTTGCCAAGGCAAATTGGAACCGGTTTTCAGATGGTTAAGTATATCCCCTGTCGAAATTTCTTTGCAGTGCCGTGTGAACGTCCACTGCCCCGATGTTATGCCAGAACTTAATATCGTTCAACTGGAGCATACTAGCAACGTGATCCCAGTACCGATCCTTGGGGCAAACCATACTAGACTTCGATTGGATCGGGACTAACGCTGCGGACTCTCACAAGCTGAAAATCGGAACACAGCTAGTGCTTGAGACAACCGTTGCAATAAGTAAACAGGCACAAACAAGCTTGGTGTGTAACAGAAATGTTTGAGGACAACAAATTGGACGCCGCGGCCTTAATAACGAACTGTAGGCTAATGGAAATAGATGCTGTATGCCATTTGATGATACTTAAAGCTTGGGCGCCTCAAGATCGATCGGATCCCAAAAGGGTTTGTTCGTATGAATGTCACACCACTCCTCCTTTCTCATCAGTAACATCAACAATACCGATTCGGCAAGCTTATCAGCACAACGCAGAAGGCGAACGAGTAGTCAGTCAGTCATAGAGAGTCGGTGACTGTCAGCATAAATTTGCAATTGAGTATTGACGAGGGTTCGGACTGTATGCCAGACTGAGAGGGACTTATATTCGAGGAGAATCTCGGGTTCAAATAACTACGCATATTGACACCCCGGTTGGTGATATCCTATGTACAGAACTTAACATTTCTGTCACTAAGCGTGGATGCGACCTCTATGTGGTGATCGAAGAAGCGCATTAACAGTCCCCAACTAAGCATCATATAAGGTAGCTCAGTAGTTCACATAGACCCAGAGGATGTGTATAGAGTCAGAATCCAACTTTGTTATCCGGGTTTGGAAGACTGAAACGTTCAGATCTAGTAAATATCGGCTATGATATGAGAGATAATGGGTTAGAGGAGGAATCGGTGGGGTTCATTGAAGAATATGACTTACCACATAGAAGGCAAGGGATCTCAGTGAGCTGATGAGAATGAGGGAGACGGTTAGAAGGCAGTACACGAGTAAATTGAACCTGTTGTTGGACATGTCCCACAGAACGAGATCATTGGAGAGCGTGAGGTTACTGGCGTTGCCAAGTAGTTGACGTGAATCCACAACAGTGGACCTGAAAGGTAGTGCCAGAGAATGCCACACCATGGTCTAGTGAAAAGATGACACCAAACAAAGGTCAAGGCCGGATAGCCATTCAAACAAGTAAGGAAACTTCAGCTATGATTCATAGCCCTCAAGAGCGGCCGGCAATCTCACCTCGGGATGGAGGCGTGAAGTTTACTGAGATAAAGGAGGTGAGCGAAGCACAGAAGTGCAGGCTAAAAGACATCTCTCATGATTTAGACGGAATATTACGAAATACGTGGAATAGCCGAAAGGTTGCTGCTGAAGCAGTAGAGCTCAAACGGTCTCGTTAAGTCAAGTGTTTCTAAAATACGGTTAGGTATTCAAGAGTATTCATACAGTCATTCAGAAACCGAACGCATCCAGTAACTTTATAAGCCGTCTGAACCGATCACAGTTCATTTCTTTATATGCTTATCTTGTATGATATGTACAGACCAGTAGATAAATCACTGAAAACAATCGTTTACTTCAGAATGGTGTTTTCTATGAGCCGCTGAGAATGTTCAAGAGCTCTTTACGACACTGTGGTTTTCGCCTTAGCGGATTGACTATAGGCTGTTTAACTGATCGCTAGTGATTGTACAACTTTATCAATGTGTATTCTAGGAAGAAAAATCACTGATATGGTGTCAATCGTCTACATAAAGTGGCACATAAAGAAATGTTAAACATATAAACTAATTCATAAAAGTGAAATACGATTGACTGATCCTGTTCTGATAGATTTAATCACCCATCTTACTACAATGGCAACGTGTCGTTAACTAGGAAGAATTCCATATGGTCCTGTTCAATAACTTTGCTGCTAAGCCATACGGACGGGAATAGAAAGTGCTCAAACTTGGGTCACGAAAAATGCGATGAATGGTTCAACGCATTTAACCACAATACGCAAGAATGGGTTGATATTTGAAGATGAAACCTACCATTCGCTCAACCACACATCACAACCGGAGTAGTTAACAATGGTGGCGATGAACAAGAAGAGTGTGCCGAAGACACCAAACCAACCACCACCGATGCGACCAAGGATGATGTAGAATTTCCAGCTGACGGAACCCCTCCGATATTCCTCCTCCGGAGGGAGCTCCTCAGTTTCGTCCAAAATGTGATCGGAAAGCTCTTTGCCTTCGTCGTCACCGATGTTGACAGAGAGACGGTCTATCATTCCGGAGGCAAGGACATTCTCCATGCTAAATGCAATACGCGACGTGATGGACCCACGAGGAGTATCGTTAGGGTGGCTGCACGAAGAGTCTTTTTCGGTTAAGCGCTTTCGGACCTGAGTCGAAAATGTGTGAGGTCAAAAAATACAACTAAGTCAATGAAGAGGTACAGTATTTTGTATTAGGATGCATAACCACCATCGTATGTAGGCAAGAATCTAGCGACGAAGGCAAAAGCAAAGAGTGGAAGAATAACTTCATTTAAGTCGCCAATGCTCCACTATAATCAGTTAATCGCCCGCTGATACTCGGGGAAAAAGTTCCGTTCTTCCGTTAGGTAGAGCATCAATCATTCGGACTGAAGTAATGGTTAAAAGCAGAGGATATGAAGGTCCTCGATGGAATCTTATGCAGAAGCTGGTTAGATGCCTTATCCAATCATTATTCGATGAGCCGTTGTTGCATGAGCAATCTTCTTGTCCAACAGTTGGCCTATTTACATAATCAGTCGCATATAAGTAGCTCAGGTGGTAGTCCAATGTTGGTAAGTAATGAAGATATTACTTTAGACTATAAGCTCAATGGTAGCTCACCCAAAATCTCAACGTTGGGAGCTAATGTAAAACCGGGGGCTAAAGGATCATGGTGAGATGTACTCATGAGTAGGGGATTTTCGATGTAAATGTCAGTTCATCGCAACAGTCTCTAAATCATAGTCTCCCACAAATCCGGAAAAGTACTAGAGGGCCGTTTCGACCTGTGAGGAGCCGAACTCATGAGCAGCAACTTATGCCACAGAGCTAAGGGAGAGAGCGGCGGACCGCCATGATTTATAAGCTAACTGCGATATAGCATCTTACCCTCCACCGCCATGCAAGTTGCGAGAATTGCAGAGGGCAGAGTAAGACTCAAAATCATGAGGTTCCGCTGCTGTCCCCAATGGCTCAATGGCATAAATACTAGCTGGCAGTTTGGGCAGCTGGTGGCCATGGGTTCAGATTCTGATGGAGCCGATGGGTGCGCACTAACGACGAGACGTAACAAGTCGAGACAGACTTCTAGTGCGAGACAACCATTCACAATAGATCGTTTACGCGCCACTGTAAGAATTGAATTGCCCATTGGCGTTCAGGGAAATACTATAGTTCCTCGACTAGGTAAGCTCGAAATGATTCGCATTAATCATCCGACCTGAAATTAGGTTTGAAAGAAGAACGGTGTGAACGTCATCGATTCAGTTGTATGTCAAAGTTGGCTAGCTGTCTGATGGAACTCTCATTCGAAGAGTTGAGTTATTGGAGGAGCCACCTTCTTGATCAATAGTCGATCTACCAACAAAAACATTGGTTCACGTGAAACCGAAAACTAAGAACCACCTTGTATTAGACTCTGCGTTCCGGCCCACCTCAGGCTATCTCGAACTGATGAGTCCCAACCAGGACGAAACCGCGGTCTTCGGGTGCCAGTGTTGGGGTGAGCAACACTATAATTTCCATTCCACCTTGTATTTGATTCACCACTAGGTGCTGTCACAAAGTGATCGATTGTTGGGGATAGCCAATCATATGTAAAAAAAACGACTATTCACAACCATATTCCTCCTTTCGATAGGACATTTTAGGCCATATGAGAGGAAGACAACCAGTCTAGGGTGAGCAAGTTAGTCCATGAAAGTCATGCCACATAGATCGTGATGTTTTGATAGCCCAAACAAACTAGCTTATTACTTTGATATTTTGCGCTGTACAAATTGAAACACCGACGTAGCAAGGAAAAGACCACAGGCATAAACTACGTTGGAAACACCCAAGCAATTTAGTCCATTGTTGGAGAGGTCAAAACCATGTCGAAAATTGCTGAGCCAACCTTATATGCGCTTCCGTCAACACATGGCACGGCGGAAAAACAATCTCTTGCAGACTCTACAAACCAGTCCAGTAAGCACCTAGACGGTGAAAGGCCCATCTCAAGGGGACCTTCATGTAATGACATTTTCAAATGGTTGGCCTAAACAGTGGCGAGCAGCTATCAGGCCAAGAGGACCTGAATGAAAATAAACTCACAAAAGACTTCGGCCCGTGGATTTCGGTTGAGCTGATCAGTCGTTTATCGTAGTAATCCGAGGGAGTTGGTGGATGCTGCAGCCTGTCAGTGCTCTGTGATATCAACACTTCCGGTATGCAATTGGGATCGGCATCAGGTCCGTGGCGCTCAACATTATCAATCAAATAGGGACGATTTAACTCTCGGCGAAAAGATGACAAGCCCCGTGCGCTTTTCGTTCGCCGTGAGTTGACATGGTTAGCAAACTTGTCCGATAAGAAACTATTTTTCTGCATCTGATTGGCGAACCCTGGTGTTGTGGTATGATTGCCAAAATTTTCCTTGTTAGAAAGGAAGTAATGATCATTCAGGGTGCTTTCAACGGGAACAATCCTCTTCGGAGCCTCATCACGTAAAAGAGCGAAGTCCACGCCCTGGTCCAACAATTGATTATAGGTACCAAAGTGTGCAATTCTCCCCTGAAATGCAACACGTTCAGTTTGACCACTGACGATTAGTTGTAAGGATAGGATAGAAAGAGTAACGAATTCGAAACTAATGATGCTGAACAATCTGGTGGGAATTTGCTTGTGTTAGGTTTCAGGAATCAGAGTAGAGGTGGACACCTAGGATTTTAAGTTGAAATCAGGGATACATAAAGTTCACAGTAGAATGTGCATGAAATTGGTATCTTCCAGTTGTAGCATAAAGATTTTTCATCTTGTGGCCGAGAGAATCGTCAAGATCTGCACAACATCCTGAAGAGTAAGTGTTTGAGGAAGTAAAGGGGTTGCACAGAGAGCATACAATGAATAAGCTTAACTCTCAGCTGGCCAGATGGGGCATGGAAGCGATGGTAAGCCTTTCGGTGGATCACCCGACATGGAAGCAACTCTCCTGGAGATGATTCCCCTGTTGACCGTATTACTTCACTTGAACATATGGACTTATCGGCATTTATTATTATTGGCAACCATTCAATCTTTTTGAAAGTGTTAACCGATCAATCAAGTATCAAAAGAGCTTAAAAACTGATTTGAAAAGCTCGAAAAATAATTTGTTCCGTGCGTTCCGCTGCACATAATGATCAGATCACGCAGTCGGACTGTGCCTCGTACCGTCGAAGAATATACCGTTTATTTATTTGCTACCATCGTACAGTAAGTGCAGTGATGAACTCGCCAGCAAAAAGGTAAAGCGGAGCAGCAAGAAGGGTAACAGTTAGATATCATTTTGTGCTTCTAAAAGCAAAAAGTTGAGCAGCAAATATGCTAAACAACTGCCGCGAAATCTTACGGAAATTTGGATATGGTTTGACGCAGGCATCTCTCAACCAGGCAGCCTCCTACACGTCTGGAAAAACACCAGATGCCCGTTTCGACCTCCAGAGTCTCGTCCCTTTTGTGCGTTCCTCGGACCCCTGCCGGGTGCCAGCAACTTATGCCATCAAGTCATCAGTGACGGTGGAAGACCTACGTCACTGATAGTTCCCCATAGGTTCCAAGCATATCCGAGGAGACCGAAGACAGTGGATCAATTTGTGCGACGAAGCATGAGATTTACAATGGATTTACAAAGGATTTATTTCTTTTCTGATTGCGCATCCATAAGTTGAGAAGTAAGAAAAATGGAAACTCATGGTTGAGCTGCAGCGGCTAGCGAAAAGCTACTAAAGTGGCAAAACGTGGGATGAATGTAAATGGAGGAGAAAACGGGGAATCACCTCTTTCATGACAATAATTTTGTCCACTTTGGGCAGCAAGTGGTGCTGATGTGTCACAAGTACTCGCAGCCGATTCGAAAGCATGCCGCAAATACAGTGCTCAAACAGGTGACTGGCCACTCGTGCATCCACGGCAGCAAGGGGATCATCGAGTAGCAGCAAGTCGGCGGAGGTGTATGCGGCTCGCGCGAGTCCGATTCGAGCCTTCTGCCCACCACTCAGACTAACTCCTCGTTCTCCAACTTGTGTTAGGTCTCCGTGTGAAAAACGACTCACATCCTGTAAAAGCAAACATAAGGCAGTAGAAAGACATCACAACATGGGATGGGGAAGGTACAGAATTTTAGCCCACCAATGTGAAGTTAACATTATATATGGTAGGTGGAACTAGGCTAAGGGTTAAAGGGGTTTCAGCTTGCAAAAAGAGCAAGGTAAAGTGCTTTATCCATAGACGCCATTTTCTGTGAGAGACCACGGTTTCCGATTCCTGTCCCATTTAATATCTAAAGCTGCGTGTATCTGCTACAGACGGTGACAGGTCCAGTGAAACGACCGTGATTTTCATGCGTAACAACTTGTGGATTTCTAGGGGATTAGGGGGCACACTGGAAAAGCGAAGGAAACAAACGGTGATATAACACCACGAAGAACATTCCTTTCGATCAATCTCATCAAGCATTTACAATTATAGAGCAAAATTAGAAAACCGATTGGCTAATGAAAGCTAGGTCTAAATAAGAAAGAACCACATAATCCACACGATCTATTGGCTTGGCATGTCTGGCCATCGATCAAGGTCTTAGTCAGTCGAAGTACGCCGCTCGGACAAAACACACAGCAGATGAGGGCACACAGATCAGCTGTGACAAATGCCGGTCGCCTGTCATGTTTAAGGTGAGAATTTCTCGCCGGAGTGCGTTCATGGCCACGATAGGACCAAGGTTTGCATCATTGTCCGTTGTTTGCACAGTTCTGGTTTCGAAACCCTGATTGCAATGGCCTCAGCTGTTGTTAACAAGCGTTTCTTAAGTCCTTTAGAGTATCGTTTCGGGATAGTATATATGACTTTGAATGAGTCATTTACATGAGTCTGGTGTCCTGTGTCAAGCAAATGCTCAAGTATCGAACTGTTGATGTTCCTTACAGTGCCTTTTCGTAGTGGAGCCGGGAAGTTTTCAGTGATCCTTTTGGATAGGCATCTGGTGGTATGTCCGAGGTACCTTGCACCACAGGTGCAAGTGAATTAATGTAGGATGAAAGGTTCGGACCGGACCACGAGTCCATCCTTCAGGCACTGAGAAAGCAGCGGTCTATTTTCGGCAAGCAACTTAGGCTTGGCTGCTGGGAATGCCTGAGCCATTGCGGTCGACAGTTTTCTCCTCAACAGCTCAAAAGCAATGTCCCCTTTACAAGGAACTGTAAAGAAGAGGTCCTTTTTCGGTACTGTAGTGACATCATTAGTAGAGTGGGGCAGTGTGGAGTGCTTTTTAATGAACTGGGAGGATCTACATTCTCCTGCAATGTGCTGAGAATAAGGTGAGTTTCATTGTCCATCGTCTCAGGACTGTAGATGGTCCTGCAGCAATTACAGAGGCATAAGACTAAATTTCGTTTGTATCTCAGTGGCACTGCTGATAAAGTGGGTATACTAGCTTATCCACGTCAAACTTCGGAATACGCTTCTTTCAATTGACCCATTCTCTCGACGGCGCAATAGCACGTATAGGAAGGTCAGCTTCCTGTCCTTCTCAGTTTCAATGGTAAATTTTAATGACAGGTGTACACTGTTAAATTTGTCTAGCAAATCGTTGCTATCAGTGGATGATGCATGTGTCGTCCACATATGAATCGAGTCGCGCGATCAGGTTGTTAAATGGTTCATGCTCAAGTTTCGAGACGAAGACATCTGCCAAGAGCTGGCCTAGTTGAGAGCCTATTGCATCCCCATATCTTCTTCCTGCCTTTCATTCAGTCGCCAAGTGGATAACGGAGTTGCTTGAACCGGTACGTAAAGAATTATCTATTCATTCTGTGACAGAGACATCGATTTGCTTGAGCGAGTAGAAGATTTAAATGTGGGTTATAAAGTGGTGTTTTCCTTTGTTATAGAATCACTGGCTTGCCGAACAACCTCCTCGTGGTGCCAGCTGGGTGGTTCGGGATTTTACCCTTCCAGCAAATGGTTCATCGGCTGTGTTCCAGGATGTGGTGGGTTTCCGCCTGGCAAGCGTTCTTCCTATAACAAGCCACATATGTCCGTTTAACAACACTGTGACGTGGCGGACTTGATTCGCCACTAAATAAAGTCACTGCACCTTGATTCATCCTGGCGAAGCATTATATTCCAACAAGTTTATGCTGTAATTCTGGGGAGTATTGGGCCCCTGTTTGACAAAGGAACAAACGAAAGGCGTATGAACTGAACAATCAGTCACTGGCTCCCAATGAGCGCGATTCCCTAAATTCGCTCCGTTGTCTTGAGGGCAGGCTATTCAGCCAAAGGCTCGGGGTGGTGTCTCCTAAGTCAACACCCTACTTCGGCTTGGGCAACCGGGTAGTATCTCGCCCTCTGACGAAACCATGGACTTTGATGTGTTGTGTTGTGTTTTCTTTTACTATTTATGCATCTTGTTTCGAGTTCCATGGTTTCCGATGGCTCAATGTCTATTCATAGACTGCTGCAAAATATATACTTCACCAACGTACCACTGTTAGAAATAGTAAATTTCAATTGTGATTATCTCACTGAAAGGAACTTGAACCTTGACATGCTTGTGCAAATGCTGAAAGGATTCCTCTTCCGATGCACCCTCAGCGTAAAATTCTTATTTGATGGAATTTACTACCGTCAGATTGATGGGGTTACATTGGGCTCTACCCTAGGTCCGTTCGTAGCAGATATCTTCGTCTCGAAACTTGAGCATGAACCATTTAACAACCTGATCGCGCGACTCGATTCATATGTGGACGACACATGCATCATCCACTGATAGCAACGATTTGCTAGACAAATTTAACAGTGTACACCCGTCATTAAAATTTACCATTGAAACTGAGAAGGACAGGAAGCTGACCTTCCTATACGTGCTATTGCGCCGTCGAGAGAATGGGTCAATTGAAAGAAGCGTATTCCGAAGTTTGACGTGGATAAGCTAGTATACCCACTTTATCAGCAGTGCCACTGAGATACAAACGAATTTAGTCTGATGCCTCTGTAGTTGCTGCAGGACCATCTACAGTCCTGAGACGATGGACAATGAAACTCACCTTATTCTCAGCACATTGCAGGAGAATGTAGATCCTCCCAGTTCATTAAAAAGCACTCCACACTGCCCCACTCTACTAATGATGTCACTACAGTACCGAAAAAGGACCTCTTCTTTACAGTTCCTTGTAAAGGGGACATTGCTTTTGAGCTGTTGAAGAGAAAACTGTCGATCGCAATGGCTCAGGCATTCCCAGCAGCCAACCCTAAATTGCTTGCCGAAACTGGACCGTATATTTCTCAGTGCCTGAAGGATAGACTTCCGGTCCGGTCCGAATCTTTAATCCTATATCAATTCACTTGCACCTGTGGTGCAAGGTACCTCGGACATACCACCAGATGCCTATCCAAAAGGATCACTGAAAACTTCCCGGCTCCACTACGAAAAGGCACTGTAAGGAACATCAACAGTTCGATACTTGAGCATTTGCTTGACACAGGACACCAGACTCAGGCAAATGACTCATTCAAAGTCATATATACTATCCCGAAACGATACTCTAAAGGACTTAAGAAACGCTTGTTAACAACAGCTGAGGCCATTGCAATCAGGGTTTTGAAACCAGAACTGTGCAAACAACGGACAATGGTGCAAACCTTGGTCCTATCGTGGCCATGAACGCACTCCGGCGAGAAATTCTCACCTTAAACATGACAGGCGACCGGCATTTGTCACAGCTGATCTGTGTGCCCTCATCTGCTGTGTGTTTTGTCCGAGCGGCGTACTTCGACTGACTAAGACCTTGATCGATGGCCAGACATGCCAAGCCAATAGATCGTGTGGATTATGTGGCTCTTTCTTATTTAGACCTAGTTTTCATTAGACAATCGGTTTTCTAATTTTGCTCTATAATTGTAAATGCTTGATGAGATTGATCGAAAAGAATGTCCTTCGCGGAATTGTTATCTTCTGATCTAATGGCAATTATTCATGAGTTAAATTTAGTTGATTTCTTGCGGTATTCTGGTGGCACGCTACCAAACTATGCCCAACAGGCGCTGTGGTATTAGGTCGATAGGAATGCGAAGCCCTTGGCGTAGTCAGTGCAGGCGTGCCACGTACAATCTAGCAAGGCCATAAAGAGTTTGTTGCCAAACTGCAGGATTACGCACTCGGTACAGCAACGGGTTGGGAACAGTGCTTTGTAGTCGTCAGTGGACGAAAGCGGGCAAACAACGTGATCAACGCAGCACAGTTTGCACAGCCTGTCCTTGACCGATAGGCGAATATCTCTTCCTCTCTCTGCAGAGGATTAAGAGTACAAAAGCGGCGCATGCCTCACTGATCAGGTGATTCGGTTATTTGAACACCACATCCGATATAGCGACCATCCTAAGTGCACGCACCGGATACACAGAATGGCAGGACGGAAATAACTGGAAGTCGTGCAGCCTTGGTTAACTCTTGAAACAGTACGCGCTGTATCGAAAAGGAAAGGACAAGCCTAGAGTTGTAATGCATTGGGTCCGTTTGATCTGGTCCCAGGATAGCTTTGCTGTTCGTTTACAGAAGTTTACCGGTCGATTACATAGTGGCACCGTCTTCGCAGAGAGAATGGATGGCACACATATTCCTGATCACCTTAGCACCATTATCTGTTAGGTGTATTAATTTTGTGACAAGCGTTGAAGCAACCGGACTTGTTGCACATCAGTGCCTTGCTTCCAGTTAACTGCGCTTGTATCAGTCGCAAAATTGAAGAGATAGCAGGCCAGTTGCATTCCACACATCATAGTAGGCCGCACAAACCCAGTTAGTCACGATAGAAAGTCAGGAATGCGACGTAACATAACGTGCAACGTTGCACAACTTCATAAACCAGTGAGACCAAATAAATTGAGGTCAAGGCAAAGGACAGTGGCGGGTTTGCGTGACCTGGAAGTAACCTTAACAATACGCAGCAGGGATTACCTTTAAAAAATGCTGCTTTACCCTACATCGATCATCGGGGGGTTTGAGGAATCCCCTAGGAAGCTGTTGTATACGACAGGTCACTTCGGATAACGCCCATCT